GTTCCATTTAAATTTAACAAGTTATTGCCGTTTAAATCTAGTAATTATGTAAAATAAAACTTTAGACACTCTGTATAAGGTAGTATAATTTTTATTATTGCAACACAATAACTCATCAATAAATAAACTTCAGTAAATATTTAGTATTAAAAACTTTGATACCCTTGGAGAAATGAAGCCTTAAAATTTTGACTGCATTTTCACAAAATTGAAAATATTTCAAAAACGGTAAGGTTTAAGTGTAATAAACCTTTATCAAATTTACCTTTATTTTAATCGTAGAAACTAAAAATGTAATAATATACAGGGTATTCCATTTAAAAAAATACAACTTTGATATTTTTTATTTATTTGGGACACTCTGTATCTTGTAAAAATATTTTTAAACTGTAGCTCTAATAGTCCTTCAACGAACCCAAAACTTACAATTTGTAAAAATCTAATCGTTTAGCTACAATACTCCGTGTCGTATGTGGTGAACAACCCTGTAGAAGTTAAAATATTTTCCTGAAATACATTCTTGTTCAGTATGTAATTTACAATGGTAAATTGGTGGCAACAGTGGAAGTTTTTTTATATAGATTTATTATTATAGGGTGGCAACCATAGACTTAAAATAAAATATAGACTGAGCATCTCATTCATAAATAGCTGGAACATGCGGTCAGACAATGTCTTGTTATTGTTGTGTTATTGTTTTAGGTTATAACGAGTGCGACACGAGCGATAGATAAGTTGTCTCTGTCGTAACGGTCGTTCCCTGACGACTCTGCCGAGAAACTCAACACTGTCTCTCGTTTTTCAAGTACACCTGAACTCTCCGTCTCATAGCCGGGTAATTTTTGATTTTAATGAAGCTATAATTAAATTAAAAATATATCGTATTTAAACTTTTTTATATTTTATTAAGATTTAGGACAGGTTTTTTAAATATAAGTTTAGAAAAAATGTCTTGAGAAAAAATGAGTCCAAAAAGGATAAAAATAATAAAATACACGTTATAGAAGAAATTTTATAATCGAAATTACGTAATTTTTGAAATTAATAATAAATTATTAATTTTAGTCAAACATTTACAACCCCTAATATTAATCAAAACAGGATCTATTCCACAGATATAGTAGAATCGGCGACAGGGAGAGAAAAAAAAATATGATTGTTGTAATTTTTTTTCTGGTTAAGTGATGTCTTATGTAAATTAGAAGAAAACATAAATCTGTTCCATTAAAGCAAGGAAGATGATAGGAAGTGGATAAAATGAAAACTACATTTGTTTAACTCGGTACTGTCTTTATTATACCGGGTAAAAAAACAAGATTTAGCATGTTAGTATATGACATAAATTAGGATTGATTGACGCATTCAATTGTTTTTGGTCACTTCCTGTTTCACCGGAAATGACTATAACTTTTAATTTTTAAACGGCATCCTCGGTATATTTCTACTTTATTCGATAGAAAATGACACTCTGAATAGAATGATATGTAATATGTCAACTTTTGACATTTTCGCATATGGTTTAATTGTAATTGTAACACGCGGTTCATAACGACAATTTGACTCGAAATAGCAAGTGTGTGGTATCAATATATTCATAAAAAAATGCTTTTTCCAAATATGCTAATGAGTCACCCTTGTTCCATTTGAAAAAATTGACATATGTATGATTAAAAATACGATTTGTACATCTTTTAACCGGCCTAGACAAGACACGAAACCTATTAGACGATCAAAACTATTTTTCCAAGGCTCCTTGATTAAAACTTAGTGTTTTTAACAACACCATGGAAACCCTGGATTGAAATTTAAAATAGGATATGTTTTTAAGCGACAATGTCAAAAGTTGACATATGATATGTCATTCTATTCAGAGTGTCATTTTTTTATCCAATAAAGTAGCAATATACCGAGGGTGCCTTTAAAAATCAAAAGATGTAATCATTTCGGTGAAACAGGAAGAGACCAAAAACAATTGAATACGTCCAATAAATCCTAATTTATGTCATATACCTACTAACATACAAATCTGTATTTTTTATCTGAAAAAATAAAAAAGTTATAGGGGTGAGCCACTTTGAGACGACCCGGTATATTAAAAAATATTGTTTCATAATGTAATATCATTTTAAAATTCTTGTATGTTATTTTAGATTCTGAAGATAATTTTAGAATAAACCGGAATATATTTTAATAAAAACATTATTAATTATTAACAGGGTTATAATTATGATTTTGTTACAATGTAAGTAAGTAAATAATGTAATGGTAAGAGAAAAAATTCAGATTTTACATTTTACTAAAATATTATCTAAATAAGCGCCTTTTTCTACAACAACGCCACTGACTCTCAATGGATAAATTGAGAGTTGCCTACCAGTCAAAAAGTCGTTTCAAGAGTTAAATGGATTATTTAAGTCAAATTTCTTGCAAATTTGGCACTGGCGAACCATATTTTATAGTTTTTGAACAGAAAAAGTCAATAAAATAAACACTTAAGGACTACAAGCTAAGAAAATGCGTTAATACAGCCGGGGAGATAGCGGCAACAAAGCTTTACCGCACACGTGCGACACGTACTACAAGGTAATAAATGAATGAATAGGCTCCCTGGTCTCTAATCGGTGTTGTCATATTGTAAAGAACTTATCCTTATTAAACAGTATCCAACTTATAATTTAGTAGTATAAGGACTATTTAATACATCTATGGAATATTAAAACCTACTTTATTAAACTGTAGTATTAATATCTCAATATATGTGTATAACAAGAAAAAAAATATTGATAATATTAAAGACGTGACAACATAGGCTGGATGAGGAAGGCTCGGTCGACTGTACCCAGAAGTAAACATGTGTACAAAAAAGGTTGTTTGTCCGCGTTGAGATGTAAATAGTGTAGTCTATATTTTATTTTAAGTCTATGGTGGCAACATTGAGAAATGTAACTAGAGGTTGTCATGACAAAATTATAAATAAGTTAGTCCAGGTAAATAATTTTTAAAGAACGTTTGTAATTTATTATTCTGAACAATAAAACTTTATAAAAATAATAGGTTATGGGCCCAGATGCGCATAAGTTCGTGTTTAACGAACGAAAGTTGTGTTTAAGCGAAAAGTTGTGTTTAACGAAAAATATAGACTGCAGTCGGCGTTGGCGAAAGTTGGAAATATAACGTACTGCACAAGTAAAGAAAAAGTCAGAATAATAGATCGGACAGTGGCAAACGAGTCTTTGAAGTTCAATGGAGAGAACTGGACAATTTGGAAATTCCAGACATAAATAATGCTAAAGTCGAAAGGATTATTTGAAATTGTAACTGGGGAGAATCCAAGACCAATTACAGAAGCAACACAGTGGGACACAAAAGATGCCAGAGCTCAAGAAATAATTGCTGTAAGGATGGAAGAGAAGCCTTTAACACATATACTTTCTTGTCGAACATCATCAGAGGTGTGGGAAAAACTGATGTCGATATATGAACAGAAGTCGCAGGTTAATGTTCACCTATTACAACAGAATTTTTTTAGATTAGAGTTCAGTAATAGAAATGTTGCACAGTTTATATCCAAGCTTGAAGAAATTAAAAGTAATTTGGCTTAGTTAGGTGAAGAGTTGGATGATAAGATGGTAATCACAAAAATCTTAATGTCGTTACCAGATAATCTTAGACACTTTGTTTCTGCTTGGGAATCAACAGATATAAGTTAGCAAACATTAAAAGAACTAACGGCCAGACGCTTAATTGAGGAAGAAAGAAGTAAACACGGAGAAGAAGTTATGGCATTGTCTACAATACTACAAAAGGGAATAAAAAGTCGAATGTGAAATATCCAAAGATGTTCAAAAAATGTAATTACTGTCAGAAGAATGGACATTTATGGCAGGATTGCTGGTTTCGAAGAAGAAAAGAAGGTGAAGAGTGAACAAGCTTTTTTAAATGAATCAATGCTATTGAATTGTTGTGACATCATAAATTTAGTGGGCAAGAATAATTTAAGTGCAAAAAGCTGGTGGATGGACAGTGGAGCCACTGAACACATGTGTTTTGATAAATAAAATGATGTTTAAAGTTATAGTGTCCGGTGGCGTAGAGGTACAGCTTTCGTCTATCAATCTAAAGGTTGTGGGTTCGAATCCTACAGCCGGCCTTTCATCAGCCGACTATTTTTAATAAAATAAAAATAGTTTAGGTAGCTAGGTCGACTCAGCCTTAAATGAGTACTTGGGATTCACAATTCTGAGGTAATAATAGGCGATTAAAGCGTAGTGCTAGCCACCTTACCTTCCTTCTATACCGAACGGCTCTATCATGACAAGCCTTGCTACTCCCAAGAGGTTAAACGCTATATAAGAGAGCTATTATTATTATGTTTAAAGTTCAAGAACATATTTTTCAGTCCTCATGTAATTCAGTTGTAAGCCTAAAAAATTGGCATCGAAAACTGGCTCATATTCATTTTGATCAAGTTAAGAAGGTTCTTAAAAGAAGTGAAATACCATTTAAAGAGAAAGAAGAACCTTTTTGTGTTGAATGTCTGGCTGGAAAGCAGCACCGATTTCCATTTCCTTCCACTAATTCTAGAACAGAAAAAAAAATGTGAATTAATTCACAGCGATTTATGTGGACCAATCGAAGCGGAGTCTCTTGGTGGTATTTGTTGACATTGAAGGATGACTATTGTGGATATAGACAGATCTATTTCTTAAAGAATAAATCGGAAGTCCCAGAAAAAATGGAAAATTTTATTTGTATGGCTGAAAATCAGACAGGGAGCAGAGTTAAGATAATAAGAATTGATGGAATTTATGAACAGTGAAGTAAGAAAAATATGTAAAAGAAGGAATTATTCATCAAAAAAGTTGGCAGGCAATAGTCCCCAGATAGATAAAACTGGCATGGTAGAATAAGAATTTCAATATAAGTTTCTTAAAAGAGTTTGGATCAAAAGACAAGTGTACATGTTCCAAATCAAAAGCGGTTTAAGTTAGACGCCAAAAATGAGATTGGATTTTTTGTTGGATATACTGAAGAGTAAAAAGGCTACCGAATTTGGAAATTGGACAACAATGGAAATTCAAGTGGAAATTCACAGAGATGTTGTTTTTATTCCAGAGGATGGAGAGCATAATAATGACAAATATAGGAATGAGAAAGATAATGAACTTCTTTCTCTAAATCTTGATCTCGATGCTGATCCTGAGCCTGATATTGATCCAGAACTTGAAAATATTCATGAACCAGAGAATGACTTATCCGATATTAATTTTGATAACTCAAATGAAATCAGAGAAAGTACTTTAGAAGAAAAAATAGGTAGAAGACCAGGAAGAAGAGAAATGAGAAAACCGAAGAAATACGAGGACTACGAAATTAATTTTGTAGCTATTCATAAAAGTGAAGAACCTACAAATTACGAGGAAGCTATGGCAAGTAACGATTCAGAAAAATGGAAGCATGCGATGGAAGAAGGGAAGAAAGCATTGGAAGAAAATGAAACATGGTACGCGGACGAAAGTGTCAGTGATAGTGAGGTCATTGAGTGCAAGTGGGTTTACAGAAAGAAAAGAGACGAAAAAGGACAAATAGTAAGTTTGCCCTCTTAGTATAGTCTGTCCAACGAGAAGATTCTTGACAGTGATAGATGTGTCTGTCATTTTAATTTCAAAGTAGTTTATTTTATTTTACAAAGAAATAAGTTGGTACAACTGGAACGCATAGCAGGGAATTAATATATTTAAAATTTGACTGACAAGTGATTACTTCAAAATATTTTGAAAAAACTGTATAAAACTGAAAAAATATAATCGAGTTATTTTATTTAATAAAAAACGGTATGTGTAAATACAAAACAAACAAGAACAAGACACCATACAAAAAAAAATATAAAAAAGAACTATTTCTTACTTTCAAGCTATTATGAACTTCCCGCATTTATGATTATATTTATCAATATAACTTATGCACAAATACACATTTATAATATTCCGCAGGAATAAATAAAACAACTAGTATCGACGTATAGCACACATCAAATACATACAGGGTTGTTCACCACATACGACACGGAGTATTGTAGCTAAACGATTAGATTTTTACAAATTGTAAGTTTTGGGTTCGTTGAAGGATTATTAGAGCTACAATTTCAAAATATTTTTACAAGATACAGAGTGTCCCAACTAAGTAAAAAATATTATAGTTGTATTTTTTTAAATGGAACTCCCTGTATATTATTCTATTTTTAGATTCTACGATTAAAATAAGGGTTAATTTGATTAAGGTTTATCACACTTAAACCTTACCGTTTTTGAAATATTTTCAATTTTATGAAATAAAACTTATTGACCAGATATTGTGTTGCAATAATAAAAAATTTACTACCTTATACAGAGTGTACAAAAATGTATATTAAATAATTACTAGCTTTAAACGGCAATAGCGTGTTTAATTTAAATGGAACACCCTATATATTTTGCGTGAATCAGATGTACAATGTAATTGTCTATCAAATTGTATTATACCATTTTTTACCTATCTCTTCAAGTTTTCGTAGAAAATGCATTTTCTTATAATTTAGACCTCATTTATCACTATACCCATGGAATATTGACATTTTAGATTATTTTTAAAGATGCAACAAATTTTCCAAGAGTACAGATACTAATATTGTCGATATAGCTCGCTTATTTCATAAAAAAAATGAAAAACTGTTTAAATATTTTTGTTAAAAAGGACCAATTAATATGATCCCAGTATTCAGACTACATTAATTGACTGTTTATGTTGATTAATAATAATTGCTCCAAATACTAAAAAACTGAATTTTGTGTGTGTATTAGACAGTGTGGTAAAAAGTAACGGCCTTATAAATTTTATTTAATTTTTTGACGAATGCTGATTTATAAAAACAGAGACGTTTATTTTCATAATTTATTATTATTTTGATTTCTGAGCCAAATCCACATTTATTTAGAATATTTTATTAATTAAAACAATTTAAAAGTATGTAATTAACTAATTTTTGGTCGGAAATAATGGTGGTATATTTAATTCGTATAGTCTTTTATAAAGATTTAAACAGTTTTTTTGGTATATCAATAGGCTTGCAATATTTACCACTTGTACATTTTCTGCATATATGTTGCTTAAAAAAATCTGAAATGTAAATATTCCATGGGTATAGTGATAAATGAGGTCTAAATTATAAGAAAATGCATTTTCTACGAAAAGTTGCAGAGATAGGTAAAAAATGGTATAATAAAATTTGATAGACAATTAAATTGTGCATATGATTCACGTAAAATATACAGGGTGTTCCATTTAACTTAAACACGTTATTGCCGTTTAAAGCTAGTAATTATTTAATATAAATTTTTGGACACTCTCTATACGGTAGTAAAATTTTTATTATTGCAACACAATATCTGATCAATAAATAATCTTCAGTAAATATTTAGTATTAAAAACTTTGATACCCTTGGAGAAATGAAACATTAAAATTTTTACTGCAATTTCTTAAAATTGAAAATATTTCAAAAATGGTAAGGTTTAAGTGTGATAAACCTTAATCAAATTTACCTTTATTTCAATCGTAGAATCCAAAAATAGAATAATATACAGGGTGTTCCGTTTAAAAAAATACAACTATGATATTTTTTACTTATTTGGGACACTCTGCATCTTGTAAAATATTTTTAAATTGTAGCTCTAATAGTCCTTCAACGAACCCAAAACTTACAATTTGTAAAAATCTAATCGTTTAGCTACAATACTCCGTGTCGTATGTGGTGAACAACCCTGTATAATATCAGAAAAATATATAATTATCGAATTCAATAAGAAAACGTTAAAAAGGTGGAGCGGACTGTTTATTTTTGCTCTTGAAAGCTGAACTAATCGCCATTGTAATAAACTTTATACAAAGTTCACTATACAAAAACTATTAAAAATCGCTAAAATTGTCGCTGATGACTCATTCGTCGCCATCAAAAAAATGGCGTCTAAAGTCACAAATTCTGCTGCAGCACATGTATATGAGCGTTAAGCGTTACATGTCCTTATATTCTTTAGTCATTGGTTTTATTATTATAGGGTGGCAACATTGAGAAATGTAACTAGATAAGGTAGTCGAGAGAGTTAAATAGTTTTTAAAAAACGGTTGTAATTTATTATTCTGAACCATAAAACTTTATAAAAACAATAATTCTTATAATTCTTTAGGTTTGTACTTAAACAAAATTCTCAAGTTTTTTATTCTAGGAGCTACAGTTGCCCGACGCACAATTGCCGAACCCTGTATAAGTAATGAATAAAATAACTGGTAACAACAATTTTGTTAAATATTTTGTTTTCGTATACCGAATATACAAAAATTTTATTAGAACAATGCAATAATTTTGTGAGTGACGTTTTTTTGATAACAAGATAATGAATATGTTGCCTTTATATCAGAACAGAAGATATTTATTAATCATCTTGCAGGATGTAATAAATAATGTAAATTACGCTACAAATCCAGTTTATTTAAATTTAAACGTATAATTACGTTTTGTCATCATGAGAATGGAAGAAGGCAAGTTATCTGACCTTGCCTTGATTTTTAGGTATAATCTAATTTGTTCATTGTGATAAGGATTGATAACATTATTTTTAGTGATGATTTCAGTTTAAACATCAGAACCGCATTAACAATATAAAAAATAATATTACAGTTTTTAATGCGAAATTATGCCAAATTCTTATTATCTTGGAGTCATTTTGGCTGGACTATCTTTTTATCGGATTCTAAACAATAACAATGATGGATTGAACTAGTTTATTCATTCGAGGCAAAGGTTACTTCGAACACGTCCAAATATTTACTTTGTTCTTTGCTCTCTGTTTTAGTCACTAATTTCAAACTGATTACACTATGTCGTCAATACACCAAATCAATTTTCAAGTGCAAACCGATTTCTAAATATCGGTTAATGTGCCTTTGTCATGCTACCATATGATAAAAAAAATGGTGTCAAAGACGGCTGGGGAATGACAAACGATGATAATTTTGGCGACGTCAATCTCTAGACGTCATTTATTAAAAATTGACATAAACTTGTCAAATGAATGAATTTAATAGAAGTAGATCTTCTCAAAGCTAACCAAGCAAAAAAGGCATCAGCAGGGCCGAGCTGTGCCACCCGGGCGGCACTAACACAGGGCGTCAAAATATCATCATCAAATTTTTTTTATCATATTATTAAGAATAAAAAAAGCCACCTTTTTTATTCTTGAATTTTTCGAAAATTTTCAAAAAAAATAATGTAGCATAAAAAATGAAGGAGTAACTTGCTTTTAAAAGTGGCCATTGTTCAATATTAATTTTGTCTCACCCTGTATAACTTTTCGGGATACATTTTAATTTGGTTTAACATAAAATGGTTATTGTAATTGAATATACAGAGTAAATTACAATTTAAGTAGTTGTTACTGAAATTTAAAATTTATTCTACATTTCCACAAAATGTGAAATATGCCGAAATCCTTACAATTTAGGCATATGTTTCATTAATGAAACTCACCCTTATTTTTTCCTAGATTCCGAAAATCAATTAATATACCGGGTGCATCTCAAAAGTGGCTCACCCCTATAACTTTTTTATTTTTTCAAATAAAAAAACGAGATCTGGTATGTTAGTATATGACATAAATTAGGATTGATTGACGTATTCAATTGTTTTCTGTCACTTCCTGTTTCACCGGAAATGACTACAACTTTTGATTTTTAAATGGCACCATCGGTATTTTTTTACTTTATAATAATAATAATAATAAAGGACTTTATTTGTACAACTGTGCCATATACAATAATAGAAGAAAGAGAAAAAAAAGTAGTGTACAAAAGGGCGAGGTTCAGTTGAGCAGATTAGATATCTGCCCTCTGTTCAACTAACCCACAGAGAAGAAAATATTTGTTAACAATAATAAAAATTAATGAAACTAAATCTTAAGTAAATCTACAAATATGTAACCTTAAAATTGCATAAACAGTATAAAAATAAATTTATTTACGGCATGAAATATAATAAAATTTATATAGAAGAGAAATATATTAACAAAAATACAAAATAATACAAGCAAACTTAACATTGAACATGCTCATTATAATTATAATCCATTTATTTATGCTGTCCCACCAAGTGCTGAAGAACAATTCTCTTAAATGTAGCCCTAGACATCCTGTTAATATTTTCGGAGAGGTCGTTTAAATATTTTGCGATTAAATATGAAAAGGATCCTTCATACAAAGTAGTATTGTGACTAGGAATTGTTAGCTTTCCCTTAAATCTAATGTTAATATTACGAATGTCTGTGCGAAACCGAATTTTCTCGTAAAGATATGGTGGTGACTTGTTTATTAAAATTTTGTGGAACAGACAAAGCAGATGAAGGTGGCGCCGCTCGTTCATCAATAACCATCCTGAATGCTTATATGCTTGGCTAATATGGTCATATTTCCGGATCCCAAAAATTAGACGTATACAAGAATTCTGCAATTTTTTAATGCTATTAGCAATTCGCTTTGTAATGCAAGGTCCATAGAGAACATCGCAAAAATTTAAATGTG